GCTGACCTTCGATAGCCCACCCTTCCGCCCTGGGAGGGAAGTCATTGCGTGAAGGGTGGGATCTACTTACTCAAAGCCAAAATATTACTTTTCTATCTGTTTTTCTCTTCGTTTTATATGAATAAGATCTTCGGCACTTTTAAATGGGATGACCTAATACAAACAAGCCTTCTAGCCTCTCGGACACGGTAAATTGGTACCAGACTTGTCTGGGAAGATAAGTACACTGACGAGTACATCGGCTGGCACCCGCAAGTCATTGTATAGGCCACATCGCATTCAATAAGCCACTACGATTCTGAATGGAAGTAGAATGCGTGCCGCATCCCACAAAGGGATTGATCAACGGCGAAGACTTTATCCTTTCATACACTCTTTACACCTGAGACGGAGTAGGCGTGGCTTTTGAGCTGTAGGACGGGTTTCTCGTGGGATACTTCAATTTGAAACAACTGCTATCTTGTTCTGTGTTAGATGTAGACATGACGACTGCTCCAAAATGACAATATCTCACGAAAACCTGGGCCGCCGCCATTTTAAAATCAAGTACGCAGCCACGCCTACCCGATCTCAGGGATTTCGAGTATACCTATGATTTGGTGTAGTTCTATTATAATTGGCTTCATCGATTACCAACATATTGAATAGTCGTTAGGAGAACAATGGCTTTCTCGAAACTTGATTGGCAAAGCATTGTTAATATCGTGCGTAAGGAGGAAGTGGTGTGAGCCTGCCTCCACGGGCGCTCAAGCTCTCACCTACGTTATTCGAGCTTTCTATCCCGGGTACGGTAAATTGCCACCATACTTGCCTCTGAGAATGGATACATCGGCTGGCCCCACACTCTTTGTATAGGCCATATCACATTCAATAGGCCATCACGATTCTGAAGAGTATGTGTGTAGAGTATGTGCCACAGCAAAAAAAGAGGATTGATAGATGTCAAAAGCTTCTCGAGCTTTAGGTTTTCTATAAATACGTAGTACCACGTCGTTATAAGTTTTGATGAAATAGTCGAAAAATAATACTGGATAGCAAATTCAGAAAATTAATCAGGAGCATAGAGCATGCAAAAAAAGGTGAAACTGCTGCTGCTGTGATCAGGTAATTTTATGTGCGCTTCTGTAAGCTGGCAAATAAATGCCTCGTATACCCCAGAAATGAGGTATACATTGCTGAAATTATTTGTTGTTAGTAATACGAAGCTAATAGTTTCGGTACTAGATATTAGGTTATCCGGAAAGTTTTGTGAAAATTTCACACTTTTAGTTTGAAGAAGTGTAGCAAGCGAATGCCCCAGCACAGAGTCGCATATCAAGAACTATGAAAAAGAGAAATGTTTGTTGATCATTCCTAATGCTGGTTGGTAATACAGTGCGTAACAAAAGTATGTGGACACCTCAAATTTTTGTCCTGCAAAATTGCCTTTGAATTTTGCGATATGAGACCTTTTGAATTCCTCATAAGCGAAAACATAGGAATACACTACTTCTGAGCACTTTGTGAACTACTGTACAATTATTTATTGTTTTGAAAAAGTTTCTTAATAACAAAAGTATGTGGACACTTAACAAAAACAAATGTATCGTGGGAAATAGAAGTTGGTTTTTCCTCCAGCGTTCACTGTTACTTCAAACATTCTGTCTGGCATGCTGTGGACAAGATTTGTCATGGTGTCTTCGTCGATTTCCTCCCATGCAGCAACTACCGCCTCCTTCAAGTCTCGCACGCTGTTGTACTGCCGACTGTTAGATTCGTCGAACCATGATCCCCCACAGGATTTCGGTTGGGTTGCAGTCAGGAGAACACGCCGGCCATTCCCACTTTCAATCCTATCATTTGCGTTGCGAGCCATTTTCTAATAGAAAATTTGAAACATGCAGCGGCAGGCGTTGTCCGTGCTGCATCGACATGTGTCCTGCTCTGCACCGCCGTTCAGTAGACAAAGGCGAGAGGTTTAGACCAAGCACTCCTGTGTATTCCTTGACTGTTCATACAAGCACATGGAATGCAAGCTCCGAACTTCTCTCTGCTTGCCAACAACCACCCGTGGCCCTAAAGAGGGCGCCTCCGAAATTCCGCTCTCGAGACACCAAACGGAATCGCTACAAAGGTCTTTCCAGGAATGTTGATATCCATCTGGACCGTCGAGATTGACTTCTTCTTCTCAGTGAAGATAATCTAAGAAAGAAATACGCATAAGATGATTGTCTTTCATGAGTTTATCCAAATTTTCTCATGAGACTGGCCTTACTCCGCGGCACGACGTTCGCCATGTTTGCGCGCGCAAACCCGTTCAGTCTTGCCAGCTGTTAGCCGTGGGCAGTCAGGAGGCAGAAGCTGTCTTCATGGGCTCGTCGATCAATGTGCTCGACCTATGATCGAATGAGCAGCGCATAAGCTCTGTCATTTTTGAGATCGCTAGATTCATCGCAGTCATGGATCTGTGCCACAAGGACACAAAGCGGGACATTCCGAGGCCATTCCTGCTGATGTCTTTTGACGTGCACAAAGAGCGGTGGTGACCTCGAGACAGGCACTGAGTGGTAGCCATCAGGATTCTGGAGGTATATACCAATGCACGTCGCAGAAAGTCTAAGCTTTCTTGCAGTTTCTCTATTCGAGTGTCCTGCAGCACTGAAAGCTCGTATCCTAGCTTCTTCGTCTTCGTAGAGACGACTACCACGACGAGGCATGAGTACAGGTTAAATGGGACTAGGCTCCAGATCTGCATTTCGCATACGAAATGGATTACAGATCGGGGCCAAACTTTGTGAAATCGCCTCAGGTGCCACATAACTTTTGTTCTTAAGAAAGTTTTTCAAACAATAAATACATTGTACAGCCCATTTACAAACTCTCAAAAGTAGTGTATATTCCTATGTTTTCGCTCATGAGGAATTCAACAATGAAGGTCTTATATCGCGAAATTCAAAGGCAATTTTGCAGAACAAAAATTTGAGGTGTCCACATACTGTTACGCACCTGTATTATCCACTGCTGTATGAGTTGCCACTACCTCGAAAATGTACGAGAGCGCCACGAACTCCCGACCGCCTTCGATACTTCAATCGATATCGCTTCTGAGCTGCTCAGTCCGTCAATTAACGGAGTGAGGCAGCTACTCAGCTGGGGTGGAGAAAAAACGCTGCAAAATTAATCGTGGTAGTAAAATCGGTTCCTTTGTTGAATTTAGTTTCCCATGTGTGCGGTACGCGCCCTTAATTCACAGCACTCCCTTTCAATCCTACAGTCCCACGCAAAATAATCCTGCCCAAAATCAGGGAAATGGGATGAACAATGTTTATTATAACTATGAATTCCTATCTCTTATTTTTGCTGATAAATGTTGAGTAAGTTGATTGACATTTCTCAGAACTTCCCGGACTTCCCGGCAGGGCACAGCATTCGGGGATTTTGGTCGAGCTTTTACGACCCCCCCCCCTTTTTTTTCAGGGGCTGGTACGACCCCCCCCCTCCGCTCGATGACTTTCATGAATGACACTGGATTGGCTGACTGTGGTTGTGGTTTATACTCGGCGAAAAAGTTGAAAGTTGTCGAGCGGGGGGGGTATGTAGTAAGCATGCGACGTACATCGTACGGGCGTACATAGTACCTATAACACAGAAAATTCATAAAACTCATGAAGTGAACCACGTAACTCCTAGACAGAAATACGACCCCCCCCCCCCCTCTCCCAACAACGACCAAATACGACCCCCCCCCTCCAAAACGTCCGCAAAGCGAGAAAAATCAACTATAAAAATAAATTTTTCCCAGCCCAAATACGACCCCCCCCTTTTGGCGGCCTCATACGACCCCCCCCCATAGGGAATCCCCATCGAACGCTGTGCCCTGCTTCCCGGATAGTAACATTCCTAGTTTGATGATTGCTCGAATTGTTATTTCTCGACTAACCAAGAGACTAAAGGTGGTCCATTGTTCAAGCATATGAAACTGGTCTCTTTAGTTGCCTTAGAATGTACTAGAAACATAATGATCCCTCATTTTTAGCAGTTTTCGACTGACCTAACAACGACAGTTTCCACTATTCGATTTTCGAAAGCATCCGCCGGAACCAACGGAAAAAGGTTTACTGTACAAATACAAGCAATGGGAGGATGATTCCCTGGAAATTCCATGAACAGTCAGCAGTCAGTGAAGCAAGCTGAGAATCATTTACTCAACATTAAACGGTAATAATCGAATCATATGACACTGTTTTGACATATTGTTGACGATGAATGAACTAAACTCGTATATGTCTGTCTCGACGACGCTGAAAGCAAAGTACTCCAAGACGAAGTTTTGCCAAGTAGCCATAATAGAGCTTTCTGTCTAGTTGGACCCGATTATAACATTAGCACCAAACATTAGAAGGCACTAAATAGTCCTATTATGATCAGTGATAATTCGAGAAATGATCGCTTCGAGTTCCCTTGGGGCATGTGCTATCACCCTTAATTACCTAAATGTTAAATAATACGAATGCGAGAGGGACCAGTTGCCGGAGGATCGATATATTGGTATATAGAGTCCCTTATGAAATCAGAGTCGGCAAGTGGGAAGGGGTGTGATAACATACACGCCGGGAGACGGGCAAGAGAATCGTAAACTGCCGCCCCGTCGCGCGCGGCAATGGCGCGAAGTTTTCTCAATTTGCACTACCCTTCCGATTGAAGCATCGGATTTCACCTAGACAAGGACATGATGAACACTTATGTCTATTTTTGGTCATACATTGTCTATTCTCGACCAATACCACCTAAAATCGTCGTCATTAGCGGGCGCGACGTCGCACGCGACGCCCATGGCGCGGCGAATTACGATTCTCTTGCTACATACCCCTGTACACCCATGCATAATTCTTTTTATAACCTATGCAAATAAAGTGAGAACAAATCAGAAGATAAGAGGAACAGAAGGAAGAAGAGATAACACCGTCGTTCCATGTATATAGTAAGGAAAATGGGAACAAAATGTGCAGACTAGTAGCCAATCAACAGATTCGCGATGTTGGACTCGGTAGGTCGAGACTGTATTCTGGAGTAGAATCGGGCGTCAACAGTGGCTTCATCTCAACTGTGGATGAGGAGACGAATACTGCCTGAAGAACAATGAGGAATACGATCTCAGCATCACCTTTTACCATAACTGACCTCATGAATAGCCCAACCTAGCCGACATGATCGTCGATCTCGTGACCGCTGGTACATTCAGTGTGAGCGGCACGATGAACTTGGAGCGTTCGCGACTGACAGAATCCCTTACCACAAACGTCGCACTTGAACGGTTTGTCCTTGGAATGGATGAATCTGAAAGGGAGTCCATTACTTACCACAACTTTTCCCCCTCCTAAATCGCTCACTTATGATCTCGCAGATGATCTTGACGTCGAAATGCTTTACCGCAGATGTCACAGGAATACGGCCGTTCATCAGTATGGGTTCTGAATTTGACGAGTATATCCCGAAAATGACGTCATTTGTGTGTTACCTTACCTCTCATGAATTAGAAGATTGTAAGACTTAGTGAAATGTCGATTGCAATATTTGCAAATGAATTCCTTCTTGGGACGATTCATCTTTCCAGTGGAACGACCTCTTCCAGGAAGCAGGAACCTGAACAATACATTTTTAGAAGTCGCCACATGCAGGATTACTTCAGAAGAAACTGAGTAAAGGAATGACCACGGTGGCCGACTGTATGGAGACGTGGCGACCGAGAATGGTCGTGTCGGCGTCGTTTCGATCTGAACAGGTGACTTCTATTATTGATTGAATTCAGAAGATCTATTCATTGTATTCAAGATCTTCCTCTCGATAGTTTACCTTTGTTTTCTCACGTTCTTCAAATTCGATGGACTCGGCCAAATGGGTGAAATCGAATTTCTTTTTCTCTGATGATGATTCCTTCGACGTTCCTTCGGAGGATTCCGGCGAGCAGTAGACTTTCATACGGGCATTTATGTTCTTTAAAAATAATTGTTAGAGGCTCAAGTTGACAGCCAAGAGAAGTAACATCTAAGGTGCTGTTTTTAAGGCGACTATTGATCGATGTGAAATCGATCTAAAGGAGATAGGATTAGAATTCCATAATTAATGACTTCGGTAAGACGACTGTATGCAAGTCCTTAGCTTCAAACGAATCACTACCCTATTAAAATGCGAAAGTGAAAGATTAGCCGGGTTAGGTAAGAGACTCAGAAACAACAAGTAGTGAAGGGTAGACCAGAAATGAAGTTAACCTGCATATTGATGGTGTAGAGCATCTGGTAGAGTGGTTGTTGATAAAGTTGCCAATAGCGCAGAAATTCGTCGTTCGATGGCTGAGGGAAGATCGAATGCTCTCGCAATGGTGTGAAATTTGGTAGCATCTGTAAAGGCGAAAGATGAGACCGTGACGACTTCCACAGGACGATTGGTTTTACCGAATATGGTAGCCACACACGGCCACATCGTACGATATCGTCATCTGTACGTAAAATTAAACGATAACAGAAAAACCGATGTGGGAAATTAGTGCCCCACTAACACCCTGTAGAGGAGGAATAGTGAAAACAAAGCACTGAAGAACAAATAAATAGGCATGAGATTAAGTAACTCGCGGAAGTATGGAGTCACGTCCTCAAACATCAATCACGGCTCAAATCGACTGAAGTACTGTATAGGGAAACAGGTCACGATTTCAAGTACCAATTAATTTTAGCAGATAGAGCATATAGTAGAAGATGATCACAGATATGTCTCAAATATGGTAATTAGCGAATGTGTGCGAATTGACTACAAGAGCAAATCTACCAAAAGGAGCACCAGCTGTCACGAATGAGCCCAGGACTTTAAGGGTTCGTCAAAGTTCCCAAATCAAGCTGGACAGTAATCGGAATAGGTGTTAGCCTTTGACGTGACGAGAAAGAGAAAGAGTGTCGGTAAATTGTCCACACTGAACCGAAGGTTTAGTTGCATCTGTATGTCAGTCAGTGTGTGTATTTGTGAAAAACGAAAGCACTCATACAAAACAATCCGTGAAAGCTGCGGTGAAAGACCGAGCTCTTCAACTCATCGAGTCTGTAGGACCAAGTGGTGTGCTGTGATGACACACCGAAATAAGGAAACCACGTCGTCGCCGTGTGAAGACGGACCCATCATCTCGACCATAAAAGCCGAGTTCGATTTTATTATACGCGGCATGCTTTGAGTTTTTGATAAGAAACACTTGAAAACGGTATGAGATCGTTAAAGGTTTTTGCGAGCTTCTGTTATGGTGAAGGTGTACCGTCAACAGCTCTATCTTTGAACGACACGAGTACGTTCAGCAATGGTCTGCGACGAAAACGATGTGTAATGGTAACGAGAATACCAACTGATATGAGTGGACATGAACAGAACTGAGAATGAATGAATATAAATGAAAGCAGCTTGAAATTCAAAATCGATTGGCGGGCTGAGTCAGCTACCGCAACAGAGGTCAAAGCTTTGAAGAAGGCGAAGAAGCCGATCAAAAGAGTAACAACCCTGATTAGGCCCTATCAAGACTCCATAGACTGAATGCGCTGCAACGAGAAATGACACTCCAGCAGCCAAGTGAAATACCGCCGCTACCCACTGGTCGCCACATCACACTCCAACTACGTTCACCGTTGAAGCATGGATGTATGCAGCGTTAAGGGCATTTATCTATGCGTGTGAGTGTGTTTAGTGCGGAGCGCTGTGTGTGTGCCGCCGCCGCCGCTGCCTAGGAGGCTGTTCCCGCCCACTTCAAACGGAATACTGTAGCCGTCACACTACTGGTGAAATAGTCAGTAGGTGGCGACATCGACTAACATTTGGAGAAAGTTTGAGTCGGAAGAAACAGATGATAATATTATGAGGGGCTATAAGGAGGTCTGCTTCTAGGTACTGGCTGAGCTTATCGCTGCACACCAGGTCAAAATTGAACCGACAGAATTAGTGCGATCAATTGGAATGGACACTCGTTCCCTGAATATTTCACGAAAAATAGATGCCGACTGCCAAGTACATTCCGTCAAGGTGATACTGCCCAGATTGTATTTCGAGGTTCCGTTTCACTAGAGGTATGAAGCAGCAGGCAGAGGATTGTGACGGGCCATACGTGAGGCACTCAGTCCATTCAAAATCTTTGAATAAGGGTGTCAACGCTTCCCAGTAATAGAGTAGCCGTAGAGAGGCAGAGTCATTTTGTGCTCCGGTTTGATAAGAACAGGATAGGCAGCGCTTGGGAGGAGAACCACGCAGCTGATTAGCGGATTAAGTAAAGGGCGTCCACTTTACACGTTTGTCGACAACTAACGCTGCCTCTCTTCCAACCAACAAGGTGACCACAAAAGGCTTCAACAACTGCGTTTATTTTCAAAAGATGTCCATCTTCGAATATCCCATAGGCTCACTTATCATGGGAGGAGCGCTAGTTGTTGCGCAATTCAAGTCTCGTCACGTGGCTAGTATTGCAAATATTGTATAAGTTCTGCGTAAAATGGGGCTGTAAAGCAGTGCGAACATAAACTTAGAAGGAACCCGGATTGGATGACAAAAGCCTCACGGGACAATGGTTCCCGGCAACTCAAAAGGAGAGGTGTGTTGCACCCTTCCTTGTAGAAACGGTGGAATGGTTGGTGATATATCACCGGAGAAATGATGAAAGAAACTGAGACTGACCTTTGGAGAGCTGCGCAAATGAAATGAGCAAGAAATGGTCGGGTTAGAGCTCACAGATTTTCGTTAAGCACGTGATCACCAACTCTGTTAAGGTATGCTGTTGTTTCGGATATAGCATAGGCTGGACATTGGTATAACTGAGTTTCCAAAAAAATATCCCCATAGGGGTCCATTTGTGGTTACGGGGCTAATGAGTCGAGTATTTTTCAGCCTGGGGAGCTCAAATGTGAAGATCACCAAAAACGCTTTGTTACACCAATCAATCAATTTCGTATGTTGGGAAAAAAAGTCTTAATATCTGAACATCACCGGCCCTCCTAAAAAAAGGTGAAGTTCGCTCAAATTCTCGAATTCGCGAAAGGGAATTAAGATTACTAACGCATCTTACTCTTTACTACACTTATTTTCACCAGTCCTACAGTATACCTTGCCGTTCCATCACATGAAACCTGTTGCCCGATGACACCTGCCTAAAGATTGCTTTATCAATTTAAGCTTGGCTCATCCGATAAGGTGACACTTTGCACCTCGCCTTGGTTGTGTTTAGAGGGGCACATAAGTGAGCAGGCTGTTCACTTATGTCGTATGTTTTGTGGTAATTGAAGCCCAGTGCGGAGAAAGATTTGTGAACAGAAATCCGGCCATTTGGTATCACTTCGCTCTGAGCACAAATGATCCGCTAGATGTTGGTGTCTTTCGGTATATGCTCATTCGCCACTCTTGTCTGGACTTTTACCTAAAATTCCAATGAATCTTTGCCTTGGCTTGGAATCAGCTGCAACAACGAGGGCCTCATCAAGGTGTTCTCGACGGTTCCCCTTTCCTTACGGCCTTTTTCTTCCCGATTAAGGCAGCTAGCATGTACAGACACAATTGTTCTTCAACCCCGCTACGTATAACGTACAATCGCGAAATGTGCCTTTGAGAAGGATTCGGGGCAAATGCCGAACTTTAATGTAAGAAGTGACTGAGTACTAGTTGCATTATTTCATTGGTTGAAATAGAGGAAACATGGAGAAGGCCGAGATATCCTTAATTTTAATTCGATGGCGGGCAACGAATGATTCTGCTGGTCACCCACCTGCAGATTCTCGAAAGTACGGCTGCCTTCAAAGTCGATGAACCACTCAAAAAGCGTCGAACTTAAGAATTATCAAAAGTGTGGGGCAATACCATGGAAGACGTTGAGAGGTCATGAGGAAATGCTGACGCGGGATCATCAAGCATGAAGCCGTGCGGTAGAATTTGCACTGCGGATGTCGGCACGGGGCGGCGAGCCCCTAATGCTTTGGCGCTCATGGCACACAAGTGACAGCAGTGGAAAATAAATATACGTGTTGGTACGTCTCTAGTCTAAGAAGATTTCTCAATATCAGCATGACTACCAGACAGTTCGAGAAGGATTTTCGCCTTCAGGTTGGGGAGATGTCTGACGTTGTGTGAATTAATAAGTGTACAAGAGGTATCAAGAAGCAAGTATTAGCAGAATGTCCAGGACAACTTGTCATAAGCATGCAAAAACGTTGTGGAAAACAAGAAATACTGGGAGAGGACATGTGGCTCTGAGCAACAAATTTACAGTTGTCAAGGGACAGACCATTGCGAAAACTAAGACGTAAACACCTAAACTGGTTAAAAATGAGAATGAATAGTTGTGCTTTCTAACGCTCTAGGAACTTCACCGCGAATATTTGGCCTAATGAACAGGGTTTAAATTCGACCGTGCTATACACGTAAATTAGATGGTACGCATTTACGCAATGAAGTACTGTAACCTTGGCTGCTAATTATTTCGTGATGGGATATACACCGAAGTGACTGTTACGCTGACAACGGACCTTCAGCTCGAAAGTCGCTGTCTGATTTTGCACATTTCCACATTAATAAACAGTCGAGCCGTTCAGGGAATGGAGAGGAGGAGATCGAGGTTACACTGTCCCCTCACCGCACCGAAATACCCGTATATCTGTTCCTACCGAAATGCGATTACAGTTGTTCTAGATTGCTTGCCATCGATTCAAACGAACCCCGAGAAATCGCCGATGAAGCAGAATGCTGAAGAAACAACTACAATAAGAGCACAGCTCGTCTAAATGAAGGAATTGGGTTCCCAGCCAGCGCATATGTGGAGTTGAATAGGAAAAGTAAACACTGATACCAAGGCGGCACGAGACGGAGAGATTGTGGAATATAGCGATCTTCTAGGGGTTGTTGTGTGGATACCAGCATGCGATCATTAACAGATGCCAAGATCAAAAGCTGCGCACACAGGCTGAGTGGCGCGAGTTTATTTCGGCGTCCGTTCACAGTGTCCGTCTCGAGTGCTATCAATGGCTGGAATCGTCCACTCTCACACACACTGCGAACACCGTAAAAGTCACAAGGTGTCGAAACTTCTGCTATTAATAAGCGAAGGCCACTTTAACAAACTGAATCCTGCCTTGGTGCATCAGCAAGGTAGAGTTCTCCCTCTATCGTATATAATCTCCAACCCTAACGGCTTCATGGTCGGTTCAATGAATATTAAGCTTTAAGAGTTAGAAAGCTGGCGCATCTCGCCGTGTGCCATGCCATCTACTATGCACCATATGTAGATTCCCAACACAGTGTATTCCTAGGGCCTGCACGTCAGAGTGGCCATTTTCCTTGCCAATTACCAGTCTACTTCCAGCTGAGATACGACCCACCTATATGTTAGCTT